TTTCTTTCTTTCTTTCTTTCTTTCTTTCTTTCTTTCTTTCTTTCTTTCTTTCTTATTTTTTGCAAGGCAGCTGGGGATAAGTGACTTGCCCAGGGTCACAGAGGTAGTAAGTGTCAAGTGTCTAAGACCAGATTTGAACTCAGGTCCTTCTGACTCCAGGGCTGGTTCTCTGTTCACTATGCCACCTAGCTGCCCCTGGAATCCCTACTTTCCTTGAAGATTCTTTTCCTGGTCCCTCTAGCTTCTAGAGTATTCCTTAAAACTACTTTGTGTATGTATATATGTGTATGCACACATATAGACACACACACATATATATACACTCATGCACACACACATATATGCACTTACACACATACATATATGTATGTGTATATAAACATATATACACAGAGATACAGGATACAGTATAGCTTTGTACATTGTACAAATGTTCAAAGTATATATGTGTGTACATACATACATATATACATACATGTATGTGTATATACATATATATTCTGTCTATACCTATATCGTACCTGTTTTCTCCTCCATTAGAATGTAGACTATTTTATGGGCAGGCGTGATTTCATTTTTGTCTTTGTATTCCCAGTACTTACCATAGTACTTTGCTGACAGTCAGTATTTAATATATGGTTGTTGATTGGTTGATTTTATTAATTGAATTGGAAAAACTCTTGAATAAACTGGCATAACTACTATCCTGTGAATTTCCTGAGGACAAGTACTGACTTCTTTGCATCTTGCCCAAAAGTACCTAGCATGAAGTCTGCACAGAATTTGCACTTGATAATGGGTTGTTGTTTTTTTTTTAGCAGAACTGAATCAAAGTTGGAAATCACTCTCTTAGATGCTTAGTGTAATAAAGGAAATTTACTAAGCATTGTCTTTCATTTCTTATTAATATACAAACCACTGACAGAAACTTGATTTTAGCTAAGCTACAGATTTAGCCAATATGAGTAACTTCAACATCATTTACAATATGCCTTTGTTCTTATTTTTTCATATGATTAGTTCACTAGAATATCAGTGCCTAATGATGTGAATATAATTATCTTCTTAAACTTCCATAGTGTTCAACATTAACATAAGACTTCTGTTAAACATAGTTGTCCTTTTTGTCATTTGCTTTAAAATAAGAACAGATGCTTCTGCTGCTCCTCACAAAATACATTTTCTCTTATTACTGACAAGTGGATAATATCATTATTGGCATGAAAGTAATGACAGAAGATGTGAATTTGATTATATTTCAGCCTCACTGATTATTTCCTAAAAATAAAATTTTTATCAGCTTTTAATAGGTGTGAGCTTCCTTCACATTGACCAATTCCTTTCCTCCTCACCATACTCATGCCCTTCTATTTTTACCTGTGATATTAGACTAAGAGAGCATGTACACTTCTCAGTACTCATTTCCCCTCATCTACCAATGGCTGTAAAAGCCCAGCACCAAGAGCAGGAAAAAGAAATAGAGCTTAATAAATTTTTTAAAATCCGATGCGTGACTTCCTCTAGCCCACACCTGATTTATTCTATGCCATGTGCTTATGTCCTGCAACATATGCAAGGGAACAGTTCTTTTCCACAGGAATTTATATTACATTTGGAAAAAGGAGAGAATAGAACAATAGTTGTCTCTTCTTAAAAGGAAAAGACTTCTTATTATTTAGAATTGTAAGAGACTCTCTGCTAGAGATCATTTGTTCCAACCTCTTAATTTTACAGATGAGAAGACAAACCAACCCAAAGGGATGAAATGCTATTTAAAAGTTGACACAGGTAGTGATTAGGTGGCACAGTGGATAGAGCGCTGGGCTTGAAATCAGGAAGACTCATATTCCTGAGTTCAAATCCAGCCTCAGACACTTATTAGCTATGTTACCCTGGGCAAATCACTTCACCCTGTTTGTGTCAGCTTCTTCATCTGTAAAATGAACTGAAGAAGGAGATGGCAAACCACTCCAGTATCTTTGCCAAGAAAACCCCAAATGGGGTTACCAAGAGTTGGATATGACTGAAAAATGACTGACCTTGTCACAGGTGACAAATACAGGTCTCCAGCCCAGGTTCTCTAATGTCAAATCCAAAATTCTTACCATTAAACCATGATGATGGATGAAGTGAAATGGGAATTCATATCATAGATTAAGTGCTTTTTATGAACAGTTCATTAAAAGAAATTATTGTAATGTGTTTTGGCCACAATAACAGGGATTTTAGGCAAGAAGAGGTATAAGAATATAGACATTTGTATGAATTTTTAACATGAATTAAGTAATTGGAAAAAGAAGTATATGCGATGTATTCTGATTTTTCTATCCCAGGAAACAAGAGCTCAGTTTTGAAAACACTAACATGGTTGGATGTTTGTCTTTGTTTTGTAGGCAATATGAAACTGTTGTCCCACTGGAAGATTCTATTGTGACAGAGGTCACAGCAACACTACAAGAGTGGGCTAGTCTCTGGAAGCAACTCTATGTGGTAAGTATATAGTGAGAAGCAAGAATCTTGGGACAGGATGCATTCTTGTAAAGCAGTATATAATGGCCCATAATGTTTTGAATCATGAAGTACCATCGTATCAATTAAAAACCACCTTGTGGCTTTTGGCATCTTAGGAATCTTTCAGTAACAAACTAGGAATAGTTCTGTGAGTAATGCACAAACATTTAGGGATACCTTTGAAAATTGTTTACTATGAACTGAGGATTTTTACACGGACAGGTCGCATTAGTAGTTTCTTGTAGCATCTTTCTTAACATTATTGTGCAGGATTTTGCCAGTAGCTTGGTAAAAAAAGAACCCCAATGCCTCAGAAATTTAACTCCATGGAGCAGCAATACATTTTAATAGAATAACTATCAATTAATGCTTTCTTCAAAATTCACTTCTCTGTATAGGAAGCACCAAATGGTTCTTTACCTTTTTAAGAGTATTAGCTGTGGAAATCTCTTTAATATGCTTATAACAGTAATAGTTGACACACTTCATACTTTATACTTCTTTTCATCAATCAGCAGTTACTTGTTAAATACTTCCTATTTGCCAGGCACTGTGTTAGGGCTGGATTTGATCTTCATAACAACCCTATGAGGTCAGCAGTATAGGTTAACCCACTCTGGACTCACTTTCCCAACCTGCACCAATTGACAGGTCTCCAGAGGGCAGCTAAAAATGCTTCAGCCAGGAGTAACTGTGAGGGATCAGGGTGGGTTTTTAGGACTATGCTAGGACCAGCCTATCTAGGACACTTCTACTGGTATGCATCCAGTTCTATTTCACTCAGTAATCTCGATTTCTAAAGAAAAATTATTTATGAAGATGATATAGCAAAACATTCTCCTAAAAGCCAGGTGCACGCTGCCCCACAGATAAACACAGGGTCCCTGGGGATAATGTGTGCTGAGGTAATGAGGCATGTGTGTAGAGAACCCATGTGGCAAAGGGGTACCTCACAATTCCTGGTTACTGAAAGTTTTCTCCCTTCCTTGAGGCCTCATGAGGTTCCCCTTAGGTGTATCTCTGCTAGGATCTGAGAGTTAGTTCCTTTGAAGAGTCCATTGCTAACGCTTCTCTCTGCCATAAGGGTTCGTGTTCCCAAGGCTGCCTTTCCTCAGGTGACCATCACTCCTGGCTAGATGTGTTTCCTTCTTCTTGTCCAGTCTCTCTGGTCTCAATGATATGCACTTTTCACTATTCATCCAGCCTATTCAGTGATATGGTTATTGGAAACAGGGGGAGGAGAGAAGGAAATTCTCCTCACCCCTAAAAGTGGTTCCTCCCCAGGGGCTGGGCTCTAACTCTCAAACTGGAACCTCCAATCCGTCAATCCCCAATTTAGAAGACAAGAGGGATTCACTGCTTGACTGAACTCACTGCTGGACTAACTGCTGTTTCATTTTGTATTCAGTGGACATGATTAATCCTATCAGCCAATCACATTTCTCTCATTCTTCACCCAGTCAAAAGGGTTCTCATTTAATACTGATCATAGGGCATAAACCATCTTGCTTAAATGCATAAAACTTCCTATCTGTTGATTGAGCTAAGGTGTCTGAGCCTTCTGTGATTACACCAGTTAGGGTGCTAATAGAACTTCTGTAGCCATCATCCCCATTTTAAGATGATGAAACTGAGGCTCAGAGAGGTTAAGTGACTTAGACATAGGATCATATAACTAGTAAGCCTCAGGGATTGGATACAAACTCAAGTATTTCTGATTCATACTCTTTCCATTACACCTTACTGCCTGTCCACTGAATTTCAGCACAAAATTCTCCCTGAATCTATACTTATAGGTTCAAATGTTTTTAATACTTAAATCTTCCCATTATTTGTTCAAGATAAGATATTTATTTACTTTTAAAGATATCACTGGGGAACATAAATACATATTATTCTTCAGATTCACCAAAAAAATGATTGGCAAATGGAAGCAACTGGGTTAAAAAATATAAATTATTAACTAAAAAAACATAAAACCTAATCTAACACATTTTCACAGATGTGTTAGAGTTATAAAAAGTGAGAGAGAGAGTGATATTCCTTTTTGTATGTTCTTTAAAACAGATAAAGCTGGAATACAGACCTGAGTAGAAGAGAAACAAAATTCTTTTCATGAGAAACAGATGACCTTTGTCCTTTGAGAGCATTATCATATCAAAGAATGCCAATTCAGTTGTACCAGTGGTGTCTTCAGGGCTACTTAGCTTAAAGGATCGTGAATACCTTTCTTACTATATCTCAGATGTTGCAAGTCTAGGGTCAGAGACTTTTGAGACCCTTCTCACCACATTAAATGCCATGACCACTTATATGGAGCTCTGTATACTTACACACAGAACCTCTGATACAACCTATTTGTGGACAGTACTCAGCTTCTCTTTAAATTGGGTTTTGAAATTCACTTCAATTTTAAAACTTTAAATGCCTATCTTCCTTTAAGGTCTGACCATATCATCCCCCTCCCCAATAAATTCCATTGGCTCCCTGTCACCTACAGGATCAAATATGAAACCCTCTCTTTGACATTCAAAGTCCTTCATAAACTGCCCCTCTCTTACCTCTCCTGTTTTCTTACAGCTCTACTGCATTGTCAATCCCCTCAAACCCTAACAAACTCAAGTCCCAGCTAAAGTCTGAATTCCATAGGAAGCCTTTCCCACTCCCTCTTAGTTCTAGTGCCTTCCCTCTGTTGATTATTTCCATTTATCATATATATGCATATGACATGTATATACATATGTGTGTATATATATATATATACACACACACACATGTTGTTTGTACATAGTTGTTTGCATATTATCTCCCCCATTAGATTGTGAGCTCCTCAAGAGTAGGGACTTCCTTTTACCTTTCTTGCTACCTCTGGTGCTTAGCATAGTGCCAGATACATAGTAGGTGCTTAAAAAATGTTTATCGACTAACTGACAACTATGTAACGGGACCAGTGCTATGAAAATTAGAGTGTCTTTGTGGTGGTTGAGCAACAAAAAGGCTGGCATCTAGTACACTTTAAAAAGTTGAAATGGAAGATTCAAAATTCACAGCCATCTGTTTTCATTTTATGTATATTATAAAAATCTTTTAAGTAGAGTACATTATATTTTTTAGTTCTTCATATTAAATAAATGAATATATGTCATTATATTAAGCCAAATTGGTTGGGAAAATCACATAATGTTGAAAAAGTACAGAAAATATAAACTGTTCCTTCAGCTCTCTTTAGTAAGGCTTTCTTTCTCTACTTTGAAATTACTCTAATTCCAGATATAAAACATGCATTAAATGTAAGGCAAACTTTTCTTCAGAGTTGTCCATAAGTACAAGATTATTTTACTCACATTTCATCGGATTTTTTGTGAGGAGGGAGCTGAGGGTGTTGGTAGAACATTTTGGGCCCCTATTTTTATTGTACCTTTACCTCAAAAATACTAGTTTTTGAAATATGGTTGTTTTATTGATAAGCACTCAAAAGATGTATTACTAACCTGTGTAGTCTAAAGCATCTATGCCAAGTAGGTTCAAAAAAATCTCATCAGTTTTGGGTTTGTTTGCATTGTGCCAACCCACTAATCCCTTCTTTCTTAACTATGCCCACCCTATCGACTGTTCCCCAGCTAATTACACTAATTGAAAGTGTCTGCTTCCAATAAATGTTTTCAGAGTTCTTCCACAAACACACATTCATATAAAAAAAAATAATAACAGAGGAAGAGTCGAGGACCTGACCTGGATTTTACATTTCACCGAATATAAAAAGCTTCCTGTAGCCCCAGTTCCAACCAATCCAGAGGACACTTACATCTGACCCCATGACATTTATCAGTGGCCAAACCACTTGTCCTGCCAAGCAAAAATAAAAATCTATGGAAAATGTAAGAATATGTAACATAACTACTGATCACTAAATCCCAACTAGTAGCACCAATCCTTCTGCACTTTCTGGGGCCCTAAGCCAGATTGGCTTCCTCAGCAATCTGCATACACAATCTCTAATTACTTGTCCCTCTTCTGTCACTGCCACCCACTTTAGACCACAAGATTGCATTTTCTACGGTTTATTTATAAGGAAAAAGAGAATATGCAAATTCAGAAATAATACCCCAGAGGAAGGTAATTATAAGTGCAAATTAAAGCATACTACCTAGGTACTGACTAGATGGTAATTCAGTCTCCGTAAGTAATCTGTTTAGCTATAGTTCCCCAGTCTTTTTTTTTTACAGGTATTTGGAGGGGTTTGGGGGAGAGCTCAAGCAAGTCACTGCTTTCACTCAATCATCTTGGCTCCGCCCCTATAGTTCCCCAGTCTTGCCCCATTCCTTCTGATTCCTTCTTAGCCTAGAACAGCTTCCCTCATAATCTGCTTGAAAATGTCATCTATCATCTCAAAACAGTTCCTGCTCCCAAACCCAGGTTAGAATGAGCCTACCTGCGTGTTCTAGTCTGTGCACATAGATCCATCCTAAAATCCCAGGCTCATAGTCAAGCAAGAAGGCCTGGTCGCCTGACAAGTTGTGAGTATTCCACTTACATTCTCATGTAGTCTTTGAGCTAACTTCTGGTCTCTAGCCAAAATAATCCAATAGAAGTAAATATAAGTGTGTCTGTTGCCTCAAAAAATCAGAATAATTCCGTAGTGCAAAATATACTGTATTTGGAGTTAGAGGACCTGGGTTTGAATCCTGACTTCACCACTTTCCACCTGTGTGACATTGAGCAGTTCTCTGTGTGCCTCAATTTCTTAATCTGTAAATTAAGTAGATTGGACTAAATGACCACTGTCCCTTCCAGTTCTAAATATATGATTCTATCATGTATTTATCTATCAATACACATTACTTTCAGTGTTCACAAAAGCTAATGTTCTTCCTTAGCATTATTTCTTTGTAATCCTCTTATGCTCATTTCCTTTCCTTTTAGGCTCCTTTGGATTTCTTATAGATAATTCACATGGCTAGTATAAATAACACTAGAGC